TTCCTTGTAATCGTACATTTCTGGGCAGGTTAGCTTTTATGGTTCTTCCTTCCTTGCCTCGTCTGTGTGGGATTGCAAGCGTGCGCACACAAGTGTATATATATGCGTGTATATATATATATATAACAGAATGACAACAACTATAAAATTAGCTATATATACCTATATAAAAATAGATACACAAAATTATCTGTACAATTTATAATAATCCATTATACAAATGTGTATATATATATTTATAATTACATACGTAGCTAATTGTCTAATTATAATTAGCTAAATACACAGGCGTAAATAGCTCAGCACATGAACAAAAATTTCATTTTTGAGTGACCTTTTTTCAGCGTGTTTCCTAACGAAACAAGGCTTAGGTGAATGTGGCTTCCCGGCTTCCCCCCCCCCCGCCTCTCCCCCTGGGCGCAGCGGCTGGTTTCACCAAGGACAGAAGAGCAGATGGCTCAGAGGTGATTAAGATTAACTGAGTTTCACCAGCAGCAGAGGAAGGAGACTCTGGAGGTGCTGCCTGAACTCCAGCAGATGCAGATGAATAGTCCCCAAAAGCCCCACACAGACAGGCAGATGTTAGAGGCGCTTCACAGAGGGAACACTTCAGTTAAAGCAGGAAAACAACTGCAAGAGGCAGATCCACAGACAAGCTTCGCCGTAATTTTCATGCTTGTTGAACTACTGGTTTGGTAGTATTTCTGCATCTCAAAACTATTTTCCTTTCTGTGGAAGAAAACTGTGTTCTGCTCTGCGCTGGAAGCTGGTTAGTGCGGGTAGCATCCAGTGCCCCCCCAGTTTACCCACAGAAGGGTAATGGGGGGAGATCTGGCCCATCCCTTGTACCCGCTGTAGCTGAAATCTTGGGATAAAGCAGCTCCGTTACTTGTGCTCTGGGGCGTGAGCAGCCATCAGGGAGAACGCTGCCTGGTATTCTCTTCAGAGGAAAGGAATAAGTGTGTTTTAATTGCCTCCTGCCAACTGATGATCCTGAAATCGGGAAAATTTGTATCTACCTCTCAAGTGCCTGATGCTATTGTAATTCTCAGTTGCCGTTTACTTGATATTGCCAAAACGTTTCCGCATCGCTGCTTCCAGTTTTAACGTGAGCTAAAAAGACAAGTTACAGGTTACTATTTTCAGTGCTAAAATCTGCCTTAAAATAGTTTTAGAAAAGGAAGAAAACGTTTACATTGAAGTATCTTCCCGTGAAGTAAATAAATGGTAAAAATGTTTCTCAGTTTTAAAATGTTTTTAAAGTAGATTATAGGGGAAAACTGGGGAAAAAAATTAGACTACAAGGAACAGAAGTCAAATTTTGAAACCTGACATTTAGTGCTATTAGCTGTGATATGTTCAGGGAAAGGAAACTAATTTAATAACTGTTTTGAGTGCGTTGCGTATAAAGAACTTTGCAAATATGTCTGTCTTCTAGGAAGATGCTGGGAGATATTTGCACGTAGTTAATGTGACTCTTCTCATCTTTAAAGTGAAAGATGAGAGTTTCGTTCTGGGATTTTTTTCTCCCCTGAATCTGTTTCAAGGGTGAACTTTACGTCAGATTTTCACATTTTACGGCCTGTGGGACTCACTCCGCGTCTTGCGCTACACCGTGGTGCCCAGCCCCTCGAAGGCTTGGACTAGCTGGCCGAGGAAGGTGGCCTGTGGACAACTTGGATTAGGTAACAGAGGAAGATGCTCTACTTCAGACTGGAGTCCGCTTTGCACCCTTCCTGGGCAGCAGGACACTCTTTGGTCAGAAATAGGCGGGAGGCTCTCGAGCGGTTCTTGCAGAACACCCCAGCGTACCTGCGAAGCACCCGCTTGTCAGAGGGCATAGGAATCGTACATGAACTTCTTGCCTCCATGTCTATTTCTACTAAAAAAAAACCCCAAACCCAAACAAACCAACCAAAAAACCCCCCAAACAAATCACTGCAACGTTCATACCAAGTGATGTTTATATTCCCTGTTGAGTTTTAGCCATTTTGGGGGGAAACCTGCAAACTTAACAGCTCTGTTAACAGTATTTTGGCGTGTTGCACGTGTCAGGCACTTCTCTTCCCGATCTGCTTGCTTGTTAAGGTCTGTGTTTACCTTGCTGTGTGCACTCTACTGTGTCAATATTCAGCTTCCACCTGGAAAAGTTCTTTTCCTCGTGTCTTCCGTTGCACGTAGGGTGCCTGGCTCAGAGTGGCGTGATGTCTCTTGTTACAGAAAAATAGTGTTTGTACGTTTATATTAAAGTATGTATCTTAATGTGTATTCACCAGAGGGCAGAGATTGTGGATATGATGATTGCATCCGTGTTTGTTGAGTTTGAATAAGGACTTAGATATGAAGTGTAATCTTAATAAGCCACCCCATACGCTTTTTGAATGAAAATTTCCAAGGACGGCTTATTTTAACATGAAACCACTTGATTTTTGTAAGAACTCTTCAGGGTTTTTTTGGAGGGTCAGACCTTCTGTGTATGCTTGAATACACTAGTTCATAGTCTGTGTTTGTGGTATGCTTTTGTGTCCTCCAATTTGGTTCGTGTTTGCTAATTGTTTAGTTAACAGGCTTGGCATTTTGATCGCAAAGCGGTTTTTTGGGTTTTTTCCCCTTGGTATTTGGCTCACGCTGATTTCAGGGAACTGGGCACATTGATTGTTCATCGAAGAAAACAAGCTGAGCAAATCCTCTTTATTTCATGCGGAACACGGTGAAAAACCTGTAGGGTTTTACTGTTGAAAGCTTTACAAAGAACCATTAAAGGAATCGTAATTTTGCAGGGCCTTCAAACGACCACAGCTCCTAATACTGCCGTAGTTCTTTGGTATCAGGTTCGGTTCCGTGGCTTTTGGGACGAACCCAAATCTCAGGGCAGGACCTGAATGCTCATTCTCCAGCAGGGGTACAGGCGTTTTGAATATCCCTGCAGTCCGCAAGGGCGCAGGTGGAACATTAAAGGGAGATTTCGAAGATTAACTTTAAAAAGAGACGGGGGGAAAAGAGAAGTAAAAAGGTTCCCAAGTGATATCATCTTAGTACGTGAATGATTCATCTTGTTTTCACGTCAAGGAGGTGAGGAGGGACCCCCTTGTTTGCCCCGCACAGGGATGGAGGCGTTCAGCGTCAGAACCCCGGTGCGCTAATGTCACTTTACCTGAACTGACCCGTTTGCGTTTACAAACTAGAGAAGCCATCCTTTGAGGATTCTTGGAGGAGTTCTGAAGTGAATAAGACCGATAGAAATAGTCTGCAAGTACGTATATAAAAGTAGAACAGGGTAAATGTTGCGTTTTTCCTGTGTTGGATGGATGGTTTGTGTTTTGAAACCCGCTGGAAAGATTAAAGGGGGACACAAAGCAAGCTGTGTTCTTCAGGAATTGTGGTTGTGCAGGTGGATTCAAATTAAGTGTCTAAATTATTAATATATGTTCCTTTCGATTTTCTAAATATTTAATATTTTAATTAAAATAATTGGTACTCATTTACAGGAGATGGCTGATATAATTAGATTGATAGTGATTATTACCTTGGAATGCTATTGAATTAATGTTGGCAGATATGATAAGTGAATTAGTTCAACAGTCTTCCAAATCATGTGGTGGCTGATGAGAACGCTTGCTTAAGAATAGGTAATATTGAGATGATATTGGTTCCTTTATTCCAGGTTACAAATGATATCGTGCAGAATATTCAGCTGAGTAATTTCAGTAATCATTTGTTTTGTATCATTGAAGTTAATTCTTCTTTTGATTTTGAAAATGACCATTTTGTACTTAGCTTGTTTAAAAAGCCTGACCCTGTAGATGGGAAGGTCTGGACTCTCATGAGATGAGCAGAATCATTCTGCAGAATTACACGACACTTTCTCACATCTAATAGATGGAATAAATTGCCTTTGAAATGCTTTGGCCACTCTTGACTCTGAAAGCCTTTTTGTAAGCTTTCAAATGAACCGAGGCTGATTTGGGAGCTGGCAGCTGCTGTTGGATACTTGAAAGAAAGGTGACATTTTTTTCCATCCCTGATAACAAGTCTAGGCATTATATTGGTAAAATTAAGGTGGAACTGTATGTCTCTGTCTGGGGAACCTGGTCACGTAGCCTCTGAAGACTGGCTAGTATTTTAGATCAGAATGATATTTGGTATGATACAAATAATTGTCATACATCGAATTTGTTTCCAGTTGCCCGTGTCACTTGCAGTATGTCATTTGCTGGGATGATTGTGAGGTGCTCTCATGACATTTCCCAGGACACAGTTGTCCCGATGCACCTTTTTCTGCTCGTGAGCGGATTCACTTACAGAATTTTTTGCTTCTTAATTCTTTGGGCTGGTATGATCTTCCCTCCACTTCTTGATTTATTTTTAAGCTTCTGGCACTCAAAACCACGTTGAGATGTTGAAAGGAGAGTTTGAAGAGCAAATAGCCAAAGGAAAGTTGGACAGGTGGAAGAGGAAGCTGTGGCCCGTACTGGGAATACGGGAATGGGACACGTGGGTTGCCCTTTGTGCTGTCTTTCAGCAAATATATAGGTGGCCTAAGTCTAAAACTGCTGCTGGCTCTCTGTGTTCTTCTCCCCGTTGCAGTGAAGTACATTATATAAGTGATCTTTTCTTTGCCTGACAAAGAAATACTTTTTTTTTCGGAAGTGAAATATGACTTTACGGTTTTTGCCATTTTATGGCTTTAATGAAAATCGTGAAATAGGGTTTAAGAGTAGTATTTCATTGCAACATTACCGGATACATTGGAATTTGCTTTTAGTGATTTTTATGGCTATCCGGATGAAAACCTTCTTATTAAGAGTAAATTCCTACTGAGGCTTACGTATTTAGCCCCCACTTAGGGTGTTCACTGGGTATTAATTTGTGAGACCTAAATTGGAGACAATTTCCTCTATTTTCTTTGGTATTTCTCAAAAGGCAGGAAAGAATTTCTCACTTTTCTGAGAACTGCGGAGTTGCGGCTGATGAATTGGAAGAGCACGTGGGATTCGGGCATGACCAGCCGCAGGAAATCAGCCTGCTGCTCCGATCTGGTGTTCCTGGTGGCCTGCTGGGCTGTAGGATTTGAAGTCTGCCTGTGTAAGGTGGCAATTTTGCCTTGGTGCACCCGTGATTTGGTAAATTTCCTGAATTCGTGTGCAATTGTAAATTGTAGAAGAACAAAGGCAAAGTTTGACCACATGGATCCCGACAGCAAGGTTTCACGGGAGTAACATTCTTTTCATATTATGGCATCGCTTCCATCCTTTCAGAGCTCTTTCAAATTTGGGTTTAGAAGCAGGAGCTGGTGTCTGCTCCTCATCCACGGAGAACCCGGGTGGTCTGGGAGCTTTCTCCTGCGGAGGGACTTGGGGTGACCGGGTGGATACCCGCTGGCTCGGGCGTGGTGCACGCCCGGCACGGGAAGGGGCATCCGGGACTTGCCGTCGGGAGAGCAGTGCTGTTCTCTTTCAGATTCATCTCCCCACTGCTAAGGCCAGTGATTTCTTGGTGGTTTTAAAATTTATTTTATTTTATGTGTAGCTATCGGTGTGGGTTAACATTTGGTTAACTTCTTTTGTTTAAATTTGTTAGGTGTAAATACACTGCATTTTTTTTTTTCCCCCTATTTCAAAAACGGTGTGATCTGGGGTTGGTGGGAAATAAGACTTAAAGGCAAATTTTGGTTTAGACCTTTATTGTATTTTCCAAATTCAAAATTTCGTGAGCTGTGGCATCAGTCCTCGATGCTTCTGTCATGTTCCTCTGCCAATTATCTCTGTATTATCACATCTATGACTGCGTGTAGCTGGTCAGGTGGCTGTCCTCACAGCTCTGCCTGTCTGCTAGTTGAAGTTTTTATTTACCGCGGTTTTGGTACAGCAGGAAATAACACCTGAGTCACTGGGGTCACGTCAGACAGTAGTGTCAGTGTCACTGGCGTGTCCCGTCGCCTCCGGTTGTATGTCACACACCGCACGGTGGATCCGTTGAAGTGACAGACCTTTCCGTAAACAGGTGGTGTGCAGATAGGTTTAGAAATCTCAGAAGATTTGGTCATTGCATGTATTTGTAAAGTATATAACACGCCTTTGATGTTTCAAATGTGGCATTAATTAAATCCCGGCTGGAATTCGTTGGCAGAATACGGCTATTTTTCTTAGTTACAGCTTAGACTGAGACGTTTCAATCGCTGTAGCAGTGAGGTAAATCTCTAATATGTGCGACGGTCTATTCCGTGCGCTGGCTTGGGAGGCGAGCAGGGCGTATTTATGTCAGTGCTCTCAGGTTTGAAGGCGCTGTAGACGTTCTGTGTATGCCTGCGCACGGACGCTTTCCTCATGAGTACAGGTCTGTGACAGCCAGCGTGTGATCAGAGCCCCAGACAAGAAAACAGGGCTGGTCAGACGCCGGAGAAGCAAACCCAGCGCTGGAGCATTCCCAGAATTGTCAGTTTAAAAGGCAATTCAGGTTTCCATCTAGTGGTGGTAGAAAACTCTCCCCAAGCCGTATGAGACCCAGCAACCCTGCTAGCTAACGTAGCGTAGTGCTTGTGGGTGTGTTCGAAACTGAGGGAATTGAAAGCCTTTATGTGTTAATGATACACATAATAGCACATCGTTCTTAGGCCTCCAGATTTTTTTAAGTTAGAGCTGTAATGATCTGGAGTCCGTTCTTTGGGCGGTGTGCATTCAGATCCCCGAGTACTCTTTGAATTTAACAGTTTATCTTATTTGCTGCAAATTAGCCCAATTCTGTTCTTTCCGTGTTCCTTGGCAGCCTTTTCAAAAAGTTTAACTCGGCTACAGAAAGAAAACGGGTGTCTTAGAAAGTTGTTTTTAAGTTGTACGTGTGCAAGTATGAGTCTCGTTAGATTTCTTGTTTCCTCTTCGACTTAAAAAACAAAAATCAGAGGAGGAGGTGGGTATTCTGATTGCTCTGCCCCCGTCTTGATGTTCCAGCACTGTCTATTTTTATTAGTTAAAGTATTTTACAGGAGAATTTAGAGAACCTTGCCAGGTTAGGCTTTCCGATGAAGATAATATCCACGGACCTTTTGCACTGGGTTGTATTTTAAGACAAACAGACAGACTGAGTGTGGATCGGAATTGCAAATCCCTAAGGATTTATGCTTGTTGGTGTGTTATTGACACCTCCCTGCTGGCATTTGTTGGGTACTTGGGTGAATATTGTCAGCTTGTAGTGTTTTGGAAGCATGGGAGGTTTTACTGTGTTTCCAGTGCCTTTGCGCTATAAACACTGCCAACTTGCCACAAGTGCTGTCAAGTGCCATATTTTGTAATTACTGCAATAATATTGCGAGTGCTGTAATTGTGCTTACTGCATAGATGTGCTTTTCTGGCCTGTGTAGAGACAAAATTGGTATTTTCTGCCGGTTAAAATGGAATCTGGAGCACACCTGAGTATAGAGCTGTACATTGGACACACTGCTGTGTTTGGACCTGCTACAGGCTGAAGGCTTTTTTATACACTTCACTAATATTGAAGCCAGTTAATCAAGTACGTTTTTTTGCAAGAAGTTGAACGTCATATTTCGACTCATAGTCTTGTATTTAGTTGCATCGCTCTTTGTGTTGTTTTAGCTGTCTTTTGTAAATATTTTTACTTCTGTGTCTCAAAGCTGCTAATTTCAAGCTGCGCTTTTTGAAGGGTACGGTTTGGAGAACCTACTTAGTCACAGCATCTGATAAAACGGTTGAATTTAGAGGTTTTTAAAGGTCATTTCCAGAAGTAACGTTAATATTTCTAATTAAATGTTCATTATACTACAAGTAAGTTAGAAATAATACTGGAAGTAGAGTTTCTGGGTGTTGGTTTTTAGGCTTAGTGGTATGTGGGGAGCCTGAGTCCTGTTAATATGTGCCTGTTTTGTTCTTTCAGAGAGACAGAGCAGACTGAGGCGAAAGAGAGCACGATGCCCTTTCCCCCCGCCTGCAGTAACTCGCTAAATCTGTAGAACACCTTCTAAATTGATTTTGCACCCACCTTTCCAGACTGGCTGGCTGCTCATCCTTAAAAGGTAGATGCATATTCCCTTGCTCCGTGGGAGTTCATGAACGATGCAAAACTGATACGCTAGTTTTGTGCTATTTTAGACTATTTTTTACTTCTTCCTATTCTATTCCATGATTTAGAGGGAGAGATCATTAGGTCACTGCGACATTCTTTTTTTGTTTGTTTGTTTTCCTTTTTTTTTTTTTTCCCCTTTTTCTGAATCTGAACCAGAAGCAGCCTGGTGGAAGAGTTTGAGCTTAAGTCTCCGTCACTTCTGTGGGGATGTCATGACTGAAGGTAGTGAATTGTGTTGGTAGTCTTGATGGAATGAACCAGAGCGATTGGTTAATTTTCTGTGCGCCACCAAATACCATTTAGCTCAGGTTTTTTGTGATGGCGTAGCAGAAGCACATTGTCTTTGTAGCTGAATTGACTTTATATACTGTTGGATGTATGTGCAACCTGTAGTGAGAGAAGGATTCATGTTGTGGTGGCAGTCTTTGAAACTTCATCAGCTCGCTGAAGGCTCTGATGCCCTCGTGTGTGGCCTGATAGCTGGTTTTTGACTTGATAAATGGAAAATCTCCTTCGTAAGATTGCAGTTTTTGAAGTGTACACACGATGGCAGCAAATACTTAAATTGAGAAAGTCTGTTCCTGTGCTGGGAACAAGTAGGATTTGGGATTTTCTAATATAAACTGGAATTTGCGCAGATTCAATTCTTGTTAAATTATTTATTAAAATACATATTGAAATTTGGTAACGCGCTGCTGCAGATTTTGAGAAGGCTTTTTGATTCAAAAGCCTTGCCGTGGTTTCTACCTGGCTTAGCCATAATGTTTTCATAATTAATGAGCTCTCTGGTTTTGGTTGGCCTTGGGGTAGTTTGCTACCCCAGCAGCGAAACGCAGCAGCTACCCCAGTAGTTTGCAATGTTTAGTGTGGCTGCGCTTTGACACCCTAGCGGGGAAAAGGGCACCTGCACCACTCTGTTGTCCCTCAAAGCGTTGCCCTGGCGCTTCTGGTTCCCCAGGGGTGCTGAAGTTTGCTTTTCTGAAGCCCATTTTCGTTTTTTCTCTGCTGGAGAAATGTATCTGCTCTCTCTGCAAAGAGATCTCGTATATTCCTCTTTCACGCTTCCTTCTTTAGAGCGCTGATCTCCCATTTTCTGGTGACTTTTACTTAAATTGCTTTTCATAATTGGATTTGTAGATGAGTCAAACCTGCCGTGGAGAACCAGCCTAAGATAAACGACCTGCACTAGCCTCCGCAGTATTTCAAAAAAATATCCTAATCGCATTCTAGGAACTTTAGAGACTGCCAGCGTATGGCTCCACGTTTTTCAACAGGTATGGCATGGTAAAAGTCCTTTTTTTCCTGCAGTCGGAAAGTTCTTGGCGTTCTTCACAGTCCTTTTCTCATAGTCTTTTGAATAAACAGTCCAACACAATAGGTTTGCTTTGTTCCTTCCTCTTCAGGCTTTTCTCTGGCACATTTGTCAGCTTAAATGCTTTCTTTTCCTGTAGTCCTTAATAGATGTGTATTTTTGACATACCATATAGTATTTTGCTCTTTATTTTTCCCCCTTGCAGTCTTTCCAAGTTCTCGTCTTGTAATCTAGATCATGGTGTAAATGTTCCAGCAAGCGTTCTTGGCCCGGTGGAGTACCCATACTACCTCCATCAGCCACCATGCCTGGGCTGCGCCTCGGACTCCGCACCAAGACCAGCTCCCTGCTCTCCACCCGTAGGCTTCCAGGGGTGTGGGGCTGGGAGGGAGTTGGGAAGTGCTGGCACCAGGTCCCCAGGGGGGTGATGGGGCCACCAGGGCTGAGTCTGTCTGTGAGCGTGGCTCCCTTCATTTCTGAAGGTCTAACAACTGGGTGTTGATGTTTCAGCTCAACAGTGGGTCATGGGCATTGGAGGCCAGCTGGTTCTTTAGCCGCAGATCTGATGTCAGGTGGCCTGTGTTATGACGTACATGGCACAAAAGCACACCTTTTTCACCAAAAAATCCCCTTATTGTTAATAATGCCACCTTCTAGGTGCTGTGGCAAAGTACACTGGTATTGCATGGTGCTGTTAAGAGTAGGAAGTCTTCTTTAAAAATGAAAATATAGTATAAAACTATATTTATTCCTACTTTCCTTCCTGGACATGGGTGAAGAAACCATTTAAACAGAATCTCTTTCTCTTTTTTCTGTCCCTTCCAAAACGGATATGGCATGTGTCAATCATCCACCATGATATTTTGGGACAAAAAAGCTGTAGTCTGCCACAGTTACAGGAAGCATGGCTTAAAAGAACAGCGCCTCCTGGAGAGCATAGGTCGGCTTTAGGCTGTGGGTGCAAGCAGGTTGCTCTAAAATTAAGGTTATTCTGGTTCACATTGAAGTGACTGGTTCTGTGTATGTGCTTCATTTCCAGTAGTTTAAAATTAATGCCGAGAATGAATTTTAGGGTGTACAGCAAATCACGATGCTCGGTTGTTTTCTGGGCCTCTTGAATTTTTAAATTCAGTTGATTGTTCGCGGTGAAGCACACCAGCGAGCTTTTTACCGTCCGTTACAGTGAGTCATTGTAAGAATTTACTTAAGGCATCCGTGATGTGAAGGGTTTTAATTAATAACAAACATGTATTGTGTCCTTAGTGGTTTATAAAGATGAGAACTTGTGTAGCTGTGGGGTTTTTTTCATGAGTTCTGCTGCTGATGGACTAGTGAAAAGAAATTTCATGGGCAGCGCTAGCAACGTTCTTCTGTTCGTGGGCAATCCAGGACCGTCGCTAGACCGGGAAGGAGTTACGCTGCTCGGAAAAACATCGTCACCCTCTCAGTCAAGAAGCAAGTGAAGGTTGCTTTGTGAATAATGTCAACTCTTGATTTTCCTTTTTTTTTCCCTTTTTTTTTTTTTTTTCCTTTTTCTTTCATTGGCGAATCTGATTTTTTGCGCAGTGCCTGTCTGCCAGCAGATGCCACTCCTCAGCAGCAGACTAGTTTCCCAAACTTACCCAGATAGAGAAAAATAGTTGTGGGAGACCTTTAGTTTTTAGAAACATTGGTGGCAGTTGGCCTGGGTTTGTCGTTGTTTTCCTTGATAAGATCAACCTATGCTATAAACAATTAAATATTTATATTTTGCAATGGAGCTGTTTAAAGTTTTGTTTCGTGCTGATGCATTAAACCCCCCGGGCTGGAAAAATGGCAGTACAGAGAGCAAGATGCCCTTGTTCTTCAAAGTTTTGTGTAGAGCAGTATATTAGTTGAATAGAGGATGACCCCAAAATCTTGTAGGAATTGGGAGGCTTGATCATGGAAGGATTTTGAGTGGTGGAAAAGTGTCTGTATTGGGGTGGCTGAAAAGGTGTCATGAGGACGAAGACTTAGAAGCCCAAGTCCCAGTGACCTGCAATAGGACAAGTCCTTACAAAACCTTTAGGCTTTTGCTAGAAAGGCAGCCCGAGACCCTGCAGGATCGGAGCAGACCCTTGGTATGGCCCTTGCTCCTTTGCTGCTGTCTGGTCCTTGCTGCTGGTTTTACAACATTGCTAGCTCTTGGTTTTCTGGAAAGGCCGTAATCGTAAGATGAAAACATTTTGTTTTGCTTTGTTTTTTTAAAATTTAACTTTCTGTGTCCAAGATGTTTCCAAACTAGGGTGTTTTAGTTATCCTAAGTGTATGTTTTCCCAGTGGTAAAGATTAACTTCTGTCATCATTTATGCTATTCTGAATGGAAGAATAGAAAGGGGTGCTTAAAAATGTTTCAGTCCAGTGGAGAACAGCAAAACAATTGAAACGGAAAGGTTAAGGTGGAAGGTCGGCATTGACCGCTGCAGGTTCTTCTCCTGAGTGTGTGTTGTCTGATTCCAGGTAAATAGATATTGAGCTGTTTTGTAAGAAGTGGGGAAACATGGAAACAGTATTTCTGAGCTGTTCTGAGTGGAATGGAACCTGGCTTATGCACGCGCTGAGTAAAAGCTCGTGTTCTGGTACAGTTTGAATAAATCAGCTGATTATTTAATGATGATAATATTCTATTACTAATCTCTCTAAGTATGTGAACTTGTCTGTCTTAGTGAAATTTGTAGTTGGTGTAGTTGTTTTTATACATTTTCCTTAGGGAAAGGAAAGAACTGTTTGTTATAGTGTGATATGTTCAGTACTGGAACATTTTAAAAAGGATCTTAAATCTGGTGATCCTCAAAACGTAATGTCAGATCAAACCTGAGATTTGTATTTTAAATATTTTTTACTTATAGATAGTCATTAAAATCTTGGCTTTTTAATGAGTAGGGTAATAAAGCAGAGGCAACCTGGAAGACCTTGGCTGGAGGAGACCTCTGGAGCCCCCTACATCGTACATCAAGTTGCTTGGGTCCTCGTCCGGTCACAGATCCTGGTGATTTTTGCTGTTCGGTGTAGAGGATGTGAAGAAAAGATCTGACTTACAGTATAAGTTTCAAATGTTAGCTGAGAAAATTCCCAGAGCTTCTGGTCTTCGAGCACAAGTGAGAAAGTCATCGTTTAAATTGGCGTTCGCACTACCTGGCACTGAAGTGCTAGCGGAGCGCTCCGAAAGGACGTGACCCCTGGCACCCACTGGGGTCCTTGGCGGTACAATCCGAGATAATCCATCCCCAAGAATTGCGAATCCTACTGCGCTGGGTTTTGCCTAAAACTTTGATTAGTTTAGGTATAGATGTAACTGTGGATGTGATGTTGGCTGCGCGTTTGCCGTTCAACAGCGTGTTCAGTTTGCTTTGGCTTGGTTTATCTGATTTTATATCGAGACACGAGTCGGCCATATAAAGTACATATCTGGCTGAAACGAGGGTTAGTGTGCCAGGCAGGCTGAAGTGTACCTGATGGGAAGGCTTCTATGGCAATTAGCAAGGGCTTGGAAACCAGTATTAACTGGTGTGAATGCTGTCTACGTCATCATGAATTTTTATTGTATTGTTTTTGATGGATGGGTTGTGCACTTATTTGCACACATACACACTTTTAACGCACGGTAGCAAGTACAGGTAGGAATAAATAAGTGTATGAGTTTGTGCAGGTTTTTCTTTTGAAAATCAGTTCCTCGGTATCGCAGACTTAGTGCCAGTCTTCCATGGATTACAATCTCAGGATGCATTAGCTAGAGTGATATCTAACAGTGCTTCGCTTGAATTTATTTAGTAGTCTAGCAGAAAGCGTGCAGCAGTGTGTAATGGGTTTAATTGCAGCGTGAATGAGCGCTTTGGATTTGGTTTATTTGGCTTTGTCTTTTATTTTCACCTTCAGATGTTCAATTCTGTTGTGTGAGATGAAGTTCTCATGACCCCTTGTACTGTTTAGCATATCCCCTTTGTTGATTAAAGCTTTTGGTACAGTGATCCATCTATCGCTGGCAAGTTACCAAGTTACTTGCCAAAGGTTTCCTTTTTCCCGAGTAATGGGACTTTTTTTGTTTGTTTTCGTTTGTGATTAGGTTGCTTGTCGGCAGCGTTCTTGCGGGAAGATAGGATCCTAAAGGTATTCCAGATAGGTATGATTATTTTGATGGCAACTGTGGCGGAACTTTCCCAGGGAAATTCTCCACCCAGCTGATGAAATAAAGCACTGCTAAGCTGGGGTCTGCAAAGGCAGATGTTTTGCAAAGCTGCTGTTTGTAAAATCGCTGCCGTAGTGGATATAGCAAACAGTTCAGTGAAGATGAGGCGATCTATAGTCTGTTTTCTCATGAATAAATACAGGAGAATACAAACCATCCCATTGCTTCCCCCTCCATTGGTGTACAGTCTTGTTTTCAGTGTTTTCCTCTTCTAAGAACATAAAAATTCTTGTTAAAATGTTACGTTTTGACATGGAGAAGATAAGTTGTTTGTTTTTCTTTTTTTCTCCCCCATTTAGCGAGCGTAGGTTTTTTTTTGTCCCCCGAGGCACATGAAGCGTTCTGCAGGACAGCAAAGCATGCTAACCCTCATCCCCCCGCTAAGACTGAAATAAACCCCTGCTCGTGACGATCCCGTAACTACCAGCAGTGTGGTTCAAGGGGAAACATCGCTGCGTGGTGGGTGATGTAAACGTTATTCAAGATCATTCTGCTGATGTCTTCAGGCAGCCGATTTGAGAGGTTTTTCCTGTTTACTCTCTTGGCCTGACTCTCTAGTGAATCCTGTGACTAAATTAAAAGGCAGAGTAGCTTAATTGGGAGTTTATCTTAAGTAGGTAGCTCTAAAAGTCATCCTGCAGAGCGGAGAGTGAGAAGTCGTCCTGATTCTCATGTAGCTGCCTGCTTGTGGGCAGATGTGCACCAGACTTTTCCATATTTTTCTTGGCTAGCAAGCAGAATTCATTTAGACGTATAAACACCTCAAAAATATTTCAGGTTTTTATGGTTCATGTAGCATTGCGTAGCTTTAAACAAGTCCAGAGCCATTTTAAAGCCATGCAAACGTGAGATAATTCCTTAACGTTGAAAAGTCTCGACGCACAAATGAATCCTCTTGAATAGTTTTAGCGTTCTCTGACTCGCGGGGACCTTGGGGCAACCTGTTTATTTGCGTCATCAGTGGGTGGCAAGCAGAGATTTTTCTAGTCTCGTTTGAAAGCTCTTCCTGATCGTACACAGTAGGAAAAGGACTTGTTGTTGGATACAGGACAAACAACCAGTGCAGCAGTTTGACATTGACGCTGACGCTAAAAGTATAGTTGTGTTCATGCGGAGGGAGCGCCTGACGGGGTGCGGGTGTACCGTGCCAAA